AGGTGATCTATTAGTAAAAAGCCTTAAAAACTTGGGAGGAAACTCAAATTTATATTTATCTGCACGGAGGAGTTTGGCACTCCAAACCACATGGACACTTAATGTGCTTTAGGTGTTTTGTGAGTAAACTGCCAAACTAGAAAGATACTGTCAATAACCAGACAACCTCTGTTTCGTTTACAGACTACCAAGTTTGAAAGAGTTACGGTAAGTGAAAAAACTGAAAGAAAATTATCTTCCTACTCTTCCCTCCACCTTGCTGTTTTCCTGCTGCACTGGCTTGCTCCTCTTGCTCCACGAGCGTATGCTTATGTTACTGGACGCAACGTGGTGGCAGGAGTTCTTTCATTTAACGTGGGAATAAAGGGATTTGCAATGAAGCAGGTGCTCAATAAATACTGCAGACTAATCCCACTTTACCAAGGCTTAGAGGTTAAAGAGATGATCAGTAGATACGCAACTAGAGAAAAGAAATAGAGCGAGAGACTACAAGAGTGGATTTAAAGCACTACTGGTTTGTTTATTTTAGAAGGGAGGAGACAGTCATCTCTACAAATACACAACTGGCCGAAGAGAAAACACAAGGCCATCTCTTCTCATTATTTCCAGAAAGGCTTAGGTAACAATTGATTTCATACATAGAGAGGGGATTTTGAAGAAAGAGGAGTTTTTACAGATAGCCAAAGATTTCTCTTAACTAATTTAAGAATTTGGGTCTCCTCCAAAGTTTAGAAGTCTTACTTTTTATTTCCGGGAAGAATAAGGAGGTCGGAAAGAAGCCTTAGAGGAATCATCATTCTATACAATTGTATAGGTTTTATGTTCTCCAAAATATGTTCCCATAAATGGTCTTATTGTAGTCTCACAACTTATCCCCAAGCTCCCCAAAACTACAAATGAGTGTAAAAATTGATCTAACATTTAGTTTCAAACTAGTCTTATTTATTCTGTTGTGGGATTTGGAGAATTTTTTGGTTTGTGTTCCCCCCCCCCCCCACTTCATAGTCAATCATTAAAAAAAAAATCTCATCATGGTCATTTTCATATATATGAAGCTTTGCATTAAAATGGTACGAAGTAGAAATAGAGAACCAAGTTGTTTTTCATTCATAATAATACTTCATTGTTGACATTTCAGAAAATGTGTTGTGTCCTTTTATTGCTGAAAATCTCTGCCTTTTACTTATATTAATGGGAATTCCGAAACAAGTGTATACAGAGGCTTCTGCTTTCGGCCATAACTAATATGTGCCACTGCTTTGTCTTTACTAGTCTGTTATTAATCAGTCAGTAGTTGCAAATAAGAGAGAACCCTCAATTTGTGCCTGGCTCCCTCTGGGACAGAGAGGGCCAGGCAAGGCCCCAGGGCCTCTGATCCACCACCTTGGGCCTGCCCAGAACCTCCCCTGGTGCTCAACAGACTCACTGGGCCTATGGACACATTCCATATATAGCTTGCATTCTTAACACATTAGACAGATTCTCCTTTAACTGTAAGATCCTAAATGCAGGGAAACACCCCATTGAAAAATCAAGTCAGTTTCAAAAAATAACAGAAAAATAATCTCCCAAACTGTCTCCTGATTTCAAATTCAGGGTCAGAACTTTCCAGGTTCTCTAAATACTGTTTCTGATATTAACTGCCTGCTTTTATTCCTGAAATGGGATTTTGTTATCTTTTACAGTGTAAAATCTAAAAGAAGAACTGTTTCTGGTTTTACAAAAATACTCCTCTAGAAAATCAATGTTACCTTCCATTAAGCACTGTCCCTTGAAAAGACCACTATAGACAGTGTCCTTTACAGTCTGCAGCTCACTGTTAGGTACAATCCTTGCACTGACTCCAGCTTGGATGTTCTCATAAGGGACAAAGCATTGGCCCCAACAACTGCCCAAGGAGGCTAGGGTTTAATAATGCTTCTGGTGGCAACTGGCAAGGATGCTTTGGCATCAAGAAAAAGATGTGATTCCAGCAGGTGGTCTGGAATTCCCTCCCCGCCTAAGCATTTTAGGGAAACCACTGGCCACGCAGTTCTGAGCTCCAGGTGGGATTGTCCCTCAGGAGGCTCCAATGCAGTGGATTAATTGTGCAAGGGCTAAAAGGACTGGCTTAGCCCACATCATACACAGCTGTTCAAAGACAGAAAAATCTTCAAGAGTGTGTCTGAACAGAGGGGAGAGGGTACATTCTGAGAAAAGTGATTTTCTTTCTCATTAAATGTTTAATCAGTTGATCTGACTCTTACAAATTTTTTTTTTCCACTTAGAGACAATATGACCTTAAGTGTGGTTCTAAAGACCTGCTTAGCAAAATTTCTGTCAGTGTGGCAGAATTTCAACCATTAGAAATTAGGGAGAAAAGCAGAGGAAATGGGCAAATAGTACAAAGGTGAAAAGGTGAGGTAGGTGTGTGTGTGTGTGTGTGTGTGTGATATTTTAAGGGAGATTGCTAATGCACAAAAGACTGGAAGAGTGCTGTCATGTGGCACTAGGTAGAGGAAGCTGACATTTCTGAAATAACTTGACTAGAGATTGCAAATGTATCTACATGAAGGGGCTGGGGTATCTCCTGAGTAGAGGAAGGAGGGAGGAGGATCTAGCAAGGAAGCAAAAAGTGAATAAAAAACAAATGGCTCTTCTACACAGTGACCTCTAAGGCAATTGCCCTGCCACAGTGGGTGTTTAATAAATCAAAATGACGGCCACAAAGTGGCAGTGTGATGTGAAGGGCATAAAATGGGATTTAAATACTGAAGTCCCAGTAGCTGTGACCTTGGGCAAGTCATTTCATATCTTTTCAACCTTAATATCCTTATTTGTAAAATGAGATCAGTAATAATTCTTGTTGTCACTATTTCAGTGTGGTTGAGAGAAATATTAATGAAAATCCTTTTTAAACGCTAATGTGTGCTGAGGGTAATGACTGGAATAGATGGGCGGTTCCTAAGGAACTGGTAATATCTGCTTCTTGATCTGATGCTGGTTGCAAGGGTATGTTTGCCTTGTGAAAAGTCATTGAGATTTGTGCATTTTTCTGTATGTGTATTGTACTTCCTAAAACGTTTACTTTTTAAAAGTGAGAATAGCTCAAAATGGCTTTTAAAGTCAGGATGAGGGGCGCCTGGGTGGCGCAGTCGGTTAAGCGTCCGACTTCAGCCAGGTCACGATCTCGCGGTCTGTGAGTTCGAGCCCCGCGTCGGGCTCTGGGCTGATGGCTCAGAGCCTGGAGCCTGTTTCCGATTCTGTGTCTCCTTCTCTCTCTGCCCCTCCCCCGTTCATGCTCTGTCTCTCTCTGTCCCAAAAATAAATAAAACGTTGAAAAAAAAATTAAAAAAAAAAATAAAGTCAGGATGATGATAATAAAGAGCAGGAAATTATAAGTGTGGGCCAGAAACTCAGAGGCTTTATTTCATTTCTCTTCTGAGCCATCTTATCACACCTGGAGGCTCAGAACTCAAAAAGGGGATTGATGATAATAATCCATTATTTTCTATGTGTGTTTACTTGTTACTGAATAGTGTTTTCCTAGTAAAGAAGCAAGAGGAATAAACCAGGAAGCTTCCTGCGTGCCAGAGCGGTCAACAATAAAAAGAAGAGCCCAAGCTGTTCACGTCAAGGGAAAGATGTGATTAGAGAGATGTGACATGCAAAGAAATTATCTGAAAAGTGAATTCAGTTGGGAAAGTACAAGTCCCAAAGAGCCATGAGCAGCTGGTCATGATCAGATTCTCCATCTTCCTGTCAAATGTAATCGTATCCAAATTGGCAGGGTATTTATTGCTAAAGTCGAAGGGCCAGATTTTACACTAAACATATTTACACATTTACATTCGTGGCCCTATAAACAGTCCACATTTCACTGGCCGTGACATCAAACACATTTACCAACAAAAAGCATATGCCTAATTACAAAATCATAGGGGAGAAGAGAGGCAAGTGGCAGCTGATGGGCAATGAGCGGTCATGCCTGTGTGTGTGTGTGTGTGTGTGTGTGTGTGTGTGTGTGTGTGTGTATGTGTGTGTGTGTGTGTGTGCATGTGTGTGTGTGTGCGTGTGTGCGCGTGAGTGCGTGTGTGCGCGTGAGTGCGTGTGGCCCAGCTGCAACACCAGGAAACAGGGAGAGACAGGAATGGATGCTGACAATGCCGGGCCCACTTTACTTATCCTCTGCTTCCCAGGCCATTCCTTGTCTGGTTCAGTTCTAAAGGGGGCAGGGGATCCCTGGCACGCCAATGTGTCCTGCGGTCATCCCCTTGAAGGATCCCAGAGAGACCAGAGTGACTGCTGGGCAGATTTCTGATTTGGATTGAGTTTGATGTAGATATGAACTTAAAGTTGTCCCCACATGACTTTTCTCAGTCAGTAATAAAAATAAGTGTGAGCAAATGTGTAGCCAGCAGAAAAGTTTTAAACGAAAACTAGAGTCGTTAACTCCTGGCTCTGGGTACTAAGATCTGATCCTTACTCATCTATAGCAGTTATAATAACACAGTTAGCTGCTCCAAGCTTGGTCTTCGGTCAAGCAAGGAAATCAGAGCCACCAGGGCCAGAGAGAGAAAAACAAAACAGGCACAGCCACTGGCCTCAGACAGCCTTTAATAAATGACACAGGCTGGTAGTCCATCAAAATAATCACCTTCCATCAGAAAAAACACCTCCCCCAGATCTCTCAGAGGACAGGGTACAGGAAGGAATGGTGGGCTTTCAAAAAAAAAATAATAAAACCTGAAAGGCTGAAGCTTTTCCCAAATGGATGCTTATTACATTCACTGTAAGAATTTTGATAGTAAATATACCCCAAATACAGTTCCACCAGCAGAAAGTTTGGGCAGGAAAGGCCCACTGAGTAGGGGACCAGGAAGGAGAGCTGAGCAAACATCCAGATGCCTCAGTGAGAGAAAATGGGAGAGGTTCTCATCATTTTTTCCTTCCCCTCCCCAGTTTCTTTTTCTTTTCTTAAGAGGAAAGGAAGTGGCTCTTAAATAAATGCACAGGATGCGGACGGAGAGGAAACATGTTGTTGAGCAGAAGCTCTAGCTTCTTATTTTAAAGAAATAAAATAATTACCCAACAGAGAAAAAAAGAAATCAACCAAGAAACGATCTAAGGTCATGACATCATGTGTGGTACAAGGAGCAATTCAATCCATAAGGGCTTCATTACCCGGGCAATAGATAACATTTGGATAAATCTAGCTGCAGAGTAAATCTCCGCAGCACAACAGAGCCCTGAATGGAGAGGCTCCTTTTTGTGTGGTCCTTCTCCGGGAGCTGCCTGAACCATTAGCCCCAATATATCCCTCTCCCTATTAACTGCAATTCCCTCCCGACTGAGCTTCGGTCATTTGTCTCCAGGCTCTACGGGGGCGTTTGATGAGCAGAGAAACAAGGCGAAGGGGAGAAAAGCGTCGGGTTAATGAGTTGTAGCAAATCCACACTTTGTAGTTGGGAGGAGGAGAGCTGGTGGCCAATGTTTGTCCAACCGGTTTATTTTTCGAGACCCAGCCTATTGAGGAAGGCTTGTTCAAGCAAGCTTCGTCCTTACAAACACACAAACATCCTTCTGTTTGCCTTCAAAGAAAAGAGGACCAGAGCTGGATTTGCATGCGAATGAGGAGCCCCGGGAGGAGACGTCCTTGCCCATCAAAGGCCTCCGTAGCCCGGCAGCCCCGCGGCCTTTGTTCCAGCACCTGCTCGTCCACTCGGCCAACCGGGCGAGCCCCGCGTTCCCGGCCGCCTGGTAGTCCGCCACCGCTCACTCCCTGCCCAGCTCGCCGCCTTCGCTCCCCACTATCTCGTCCGTCTCCGGGCCAGCAACACCTACCGTGGAAGCCCAAACCCGGAAGGTGATGAGGCAAAACGCGACAGTGAGCAGGCCGGTTGAGCTTACTTTTTCTTAGGGCTCAGGGGCGCACCACAGGCTTGCGGTCTCTCTAGCTGGCTTGGGTGATGCGGGACCCCACCTCCAGACGCCAAAGGAGGCCAGCGCCGGATTGCACAGTGCCTTGTTACCATTCTCTTAAAAGCGCGGACAACCTGGGGGCGGGGGAGGGGGTAGAGTCCGTCCTGGCACTTTTTAGAGATGGGGGAATTTGAACAGAGAGAAGGAGTAGCTGGGATTCCCCGCTGTTCGGGACATCCAAGTATCATGCAAATAATAATAATACCCATGGCCCCGTTCTTTCACTCTCTCATCATAATGACTTTCAGCTCTAAGTTTCAGATCTGTGACTTACAGAAGGCTGCGAGGCATGCGAGCGGTGCCTGGGCCGTCTGGGTTCCGCCTGCTAACTCGTCTCCACCCCGGGCAGCTGTGGCATCTGGACGTTCTCGGTTCCAAAGTCCTCTCTCTTAGCCGTGCTAGGGCAAACGTAACTTTTGTATATAAGATTTTGATCTAACAATATTTCAGTTTGTATCTATATACTTAGTAGTAAACTATGAGGGTATGTTTAAACTCTTATTTAATCTATTCCAAATATTTGATAGGAAAAAACCCAGAACTTAATTTTTGAGGCCGTGAGAGTCCATTTTTTCACCTCCCTAAAAGGGGACAAGAGGACAGGGCATCAAGAGTGAATGTCACTGCAAAAACATTGGCCTATAAGTCAGTCTTCGTTAACTTGATTGGTTAGTTGTGCAGATCTTCAGGTATATACCTGTCCAGATTTTTTGAAAAATAATTTAATAAGCATATTTAACCTCCTCTGCAACTCACTAATATTATTTAAATTACATATTACATATGCTTTACTTTTATTTGGAGCCCACAATAACATCTATAGTCATCAAAACTAGAGACTCACGTTTTTTCAAAGAACTAGAAATTGCCTGCAACAAGTAGTTATTGAAAACACTTAAAGTTTGAAAAAAGATAGCCTAAATCATGAAAATGGTATAAATACTTCAATAAACACCTGATACATTTTCATTTTTATTCTTAGTGTGTACTACCCTAAAATTGAAGATTTCTCTTACATACCTTAAGTTACACATTTAAATTAGAATTTCAATGTTAAGTTTGCCTTTTAGAATAAAAATTTCTTTATTCAATTCCTGGAATCCCTTCTGTCAGGAGAGTGGTGGCTTTAAACCCTAGAGCTTTCAAATACAATTTATTTTATATGTGTAAATATTCAGGACTTCAAAGCTACTTAAGTGTTGATCATCTCTAAAAATTTTTAACTAAAAGTTACCTATTTGCTTGTGTTGCTTTCATTACAATATAATGTGTTGCAGAGCTTTTACAGATATATGCAATATTGTGCTCAAAAGCGAGTGGAAATCAAAGGAAGTGGGAAACTGACAAATTTAAAGTTCCATAAAATTATCTGAGGGTTAACTGTGGCATTAATTTTAAATAGCCTCAATGCTCTTCAAAATGGAATGGAATGAGATTTGAAAATGTATACCAAAGTAACTTCTTCAACTTGTAATCATTTAGAAGTAGTTTCTGGTTTCTTGCAATAGCTTTGACCTAGGAAGTATAACTGAAAAATCATGGCATGATGCTTTTGTTAAATTCTCTTTGAAAATAAAATGTCCTATTCTATGTTGGGTTCCTACATAACTCCCATAGAAATTTCCTTAACAAAAGAGAAAATAAACTAAGCAGGGGACGACTGAAGCCAACTTTTTGGTGGATTTTCTTTGAAAATTAAGCATTTTATTTCTGAAAAAGTGTAAAAATCTTACATTAGAATAGTACAATAATAATTGCCAGTAAAATTTACAATACTCCTTGTAAAGAATACGCAGTAAGTACAAAATAAAAAATCCGCATGTCTATTATGATACAAAACACAGGTTAAAATAAGAAATGATAATTTTGACTTTTTTTCCTTGTGTAAACATGTTAATCATTTTTTTTTTTCCTTTTCATGAAAAAGTACACCAGACAAGTGTCCTCAAATAAAAACTATTGCTTCGCTGGTACTCTTCAGGACCTTTACTGTTTGTGTATCATTCTTTTGAACATTACTGATATTTTTAACGCCTGGACCTGAGAATCTCTAGACCTCAAAAAGGCTTAGGTTTTTTTAGAAAAACGTTTCCCACAAGTCAAGGAAGCCCCTTGTGCCTAGGCCAAGGGAGTGCCCCCACCAGTACCCTCTTCCTCCACACCCCGGGTCGGGGCCTGCAGCATAGGGCGACTTTGCATAAATAGAGGGACCCGCAGAGCTAAAAAGCGCGTCCCCGCTGCTGCCAAACTCAGTCTTGTCTGAGAGTCCCAAGCGGCGAAAATGGGGGCGCGAGGTCGGGAGGGGCCGCGCCGGGAGAAGTGTACCAAACGCCAAACCAGCAAGATGAAAGAAAAAAAAAAAAAAAAAAAAGAGCCGGGATTCCTACCTTCTCTTTCCCAAGCGCGCTAACATAGCGTTATTAACAATTTGAAATCCTAGCAGTAAAGTTCTCGACACTGGACAGGGCAGTCCCTTGGTGCAGAGTCCCCAGCGCGGCGGACGAGGAGACCGAGGAGGCGGCGGCGGCCGCGGCGGCCACGAGGGAGCGGGTGAGCGCGGCGGCCGGGCCTACGGCCGCCTGAGCGGCGCAGCCGCCGCCGCCGCCGCCGGATCCCGGCGCG